CTCGTCTATTTGTATGGGCCAGGGAAGGGGCAGAAAGTAAACATCTAATCCTCTCTCTCTGAGGACAGGATCAGAGAGAAAACATTGCTTAATGTCCAGGGTGGGGAGGTCAGATTAAGAGTCTGCAAAGAATACATATTTCTTCACACAGTCTTTAAAAGCATGAAAAACTAAAGACTATTTTTTGCCTCTTCTGAAAGAAATGCAAACTGTGGCCCATGTGCAACAGCTTCTGTATGCATGGAACATCAGTCAAGTGCCAGGATTAGGGCCTATTTATTTAAGGCTAATTAATGTTAGCCACCTATTCAAGGCTATGCACAGACTTCTACCACAAATCAGTGTCTTTCTATTGACACTTTTTCTACCAGTGTTCACATGCAGTTGGAATGTATTAACACTACACTTAAAACTGTTCTCACCAGTAATGTGACTTTTAACAGATGGTATTTCTCACTCAGCAGTGTGTTCCCCTTCAAGGTGCTTAAATAGTAATAAAAATGCACTAAAAACCAACAACCCCTGGGCCAGTTAACACTTTGTATTGTAACAGAATGTGCATCTCTGTTTGTTGGTAGCATATTTTGAATGTAGTACAAGATCTGATGTTTTTAACCAGTCTTTCCCTTTGTTAAGTGCCTATGATTGTGTGCAAGTGATGTATTAAATAACTGTGCTATCACTTGACAACCTTTACCCATCTGTGAAAGGACACTTAAAGCAAGGATGAAGATGGTTGACTGCCTTTACCTTTGATTTTGAAGTTTATAATAAAATACTGCTTCTGTTAACTGCAAAGTTTGAGCCTCCCTCTTCCAGAAGGGCTCCTTCTACAGTCTGTGACAGCACACAGTGATTGTGAGAGAATAAAACTCTGCAGAGAAGGGCATTGTAAATAAAAAGGTTCTGACTAAGGCAGTCATGCAGATGGGTTAGGGGAGACCCACCATAGGAAGCTACCAAATGTGTAGCTGTATGTGTGTATTAATGGATCTGGGGAGGAAGCAAAGGTGAAAGGAAAAAGGAAGCTCAACCAAGAGGGGAAGTTGGCCAGCAAATTTCTTGCATCGGGCTTTATGCCCTGTTCATGACAGAATGCCTGATTCTTATCACTGAAATTCAAAAGACTGAGGAAAAGCAGCACAAAAGGAAAGAAGGACTCCTGGATGAGATTGTTCCCTGTTGCATGTCTATAATAACAACCAGTTTTCTTATTTTCATTGCTTTCTGATAGATTAGCTGCAACACAGGTTCAGTTTCTTCAGATATACAAAATGTTGGAACTTATTCACCATTCTTGTTTCTTCCCTCACCCACGTCTGCAGCATGAAGAGCTTTCTACTGGTATTCTACTTTCAAGCTGCATTGATGAGTTGTTTGCTTTTATAAATCCCATGATCTTGTTTTTGTTCTTTAACTAAGTGCACATCATTATTGGCTTAAGATTCTTGAAGTTCATTCTGGCTCCAAAGTCATCTATGCAAATAAGCTAATGCAAAATGAGGATCCATGTAACCAGAGCAAATTCAACGAAACGCATATGTCTGTGGATGTTTTTTACTATTTGCTTGGACTTAGTAATACTTTAAGTGCTTTGAATTTTTCAGCTGGAAGGCTGTATCATTCTTGCAAATAGTGACCTCTGTTTCACAAGAGATTTTTACATGAATACATTTCGGCAAAGAAAATAAAGGCCAGATCTTCACAATTATGGACATATGACTGAATAGCTCACGTGCTTACCCTGAAAATGTAATAGCATGGGCAAATAGCCCATTACTCACATAACAGCTCTTTTTCATATGTAATTCCCATGGTTGCTCTTACCATTTTATGCAAGAAGCAAGTATATCTAAGAGTGATAGCTTTTACTGAACCAACTGCATATTTGGGATAGAGTTAGACAAACTTTTGAATGCAAGACATTCTTCTTCAGGTTTCTAACCCAACTAACCAAACCTAGCAGGTGGTCCAATAAGAGAGAACCTGAGAAATCCTTGCCTCTCACATAACTCCTGGACCATCACAGCTATAATATCACTCTAGCACTACTTTATCATATCAGTAATTTTGTGCACAAGCTAGTTGCAAAATTCCCCAAGAGGAGAAAAAGAATGAAAATGAAATGAGGAGAAAAAGAATGAAAAAAACCCAACCCTTAAATGGTTGCTACTATTACATGCTACCCTGAGCAGGGGCTTGAAGCCTCAATAAGGGGTAGAGGATATGTTCTTAACCCAACAGGCTTACACAGGTATCAAGTTTCATCCCAGTGGATTCCTGGTCTTCTCAGGTCCTGGAAGTTCAGTTTGCCAAGGCAGTGCTGTCTTGCTGACAGCACGGGTCCCATGAAAGAGAGGTTTGCTTATAACAACACTATTTTGAATGGGCATACAGCACTTCTGGCAGCAGGCTCTCTCTTGCCCTGCATGCCTCACTATGACTAGGCATTATTTTCATAGCTCTCCCTGACTTTGCTTATATACCAAAGGACAAAGGTTGGAAAATAATTTAAGAAGAGAAAAGCAATAAAAATGGGAAAAGCTATCAGATGGGCCTCTACTGTGGAAAATGACTGACAGTGACCTGTATTTATCCTCGCTATGCATTCAGGTTGAGTTTCTGCCAGTCCTTTATATTCACCCTGGGATACAACTCGAGCTACTGTCTGTCTTTTGCTTCTTGTCACCAGTAATAAAGGTTTTGATGACTGAATGATGCTTGTAGTTATGCTTGAACACCTCCATCGCTTTTGCTGAGTCTTTTGACAATTTAGTAAAATATTCTTGTTGCATGTGAGAGAATCAAATTCTGTCCCTTGTACCATAGCTGTGGTAGGTTGTAGGGCTGCCAAGAGTGAGGAGCAAACATTCACTAAAAGGAACCACCCTAATTTGGCATATGCATAGGTGGCAGAACTAGTGACTTAAAGGGTGTCATTTAAAAAGTGCTCTTCCAAGTGCCATGGCATTCTGAGTAGACTATAACAGAGCAAGATAATGGATAGTAAATCCTCTATCTCCTGCCCACCTTCTCCAAGCATTCTCTTATCCCGTTGTGCAGCTACAAGAGCTGCCCACAAGACACCAGCCACACCATGGCATCATCTGGAGTTATGGTGGGGTATACCAAAACCTCATCAATCCTCTTTTGATTTAACATATTTGTACCTGTAGCAGCAGAACCTTATTTTCCAAGAAAACAGAGGAGAGAGACTCACAAGAGGAAAGAGCAGTCAGTAGAGTGATAGAAGAGTCAATCATAGGACCTAGGCCAGGACTCTTGCAAATAAGTCAGATCAAGGACAGGGATGTTTACAAGACATTACTTTTGTCAGGCTACAAACTTGTAGCTCAATCAAAAATAAAGCTCACATCCAAAGCTGGAGCTTGACAAAGAACCTCCCCCCAGCCAGTAGGTGATAAAGGGTTGCTCTGTAACACCCTCCAGCCAGTAGGTGATAAAGGGTTGCTCTGTATCTGCCCTCACCCCATCACCTTACAGGCTCATTGATGGACTTGTGAGCCTTTTTAACTTACTTGTGTTTTAATGGGCTGCTGGTGTTCCAGTATTAGCACTCCTTTCACGTTCCCAGCCTGCAGGCTGCCCCCTCACCCTTGCTGCCTTTAAAGGAGATGCAGGCAGCCCCAGGACTGGTAAGTGACCCCTCCCAAGCTGCTTGTACACCTTTTAGAAGTCCAGGTTTGCAAGCAGCCTGGGGCACTGGTGGGTCCTGGGCTGCAGGAGCATTCCCCTTAAACTCTGTGGCCTACAAACAGTGGTAGGCACTTCCTGCATCTAAGAGTAGTAGGCACTTTCTGTGTCTTGGGCTGCTGCCACACAAGGCACTTAAAAGGGTGTGCAGGCAGCTCCAGAACTGAGAAGTGCTTCCCCAGTTGTGGGCTGTCCACACACCTTTCTGTCTCAGATCCAGAGGCTTCCCCTTCCCGGTCCCACTGTTTGATAAGCAGGACAGGACAAGAGACATTCAGTGAATAACTTCTCTGAGGCAGGTTTGCCCTTTTAGTCATGTAATAAATGACTATCTGGTATGTTACCATTTAATGCATGAAACTTGCATTAATTGCACGATACATGTCACACTTGCCAGAGGCCAAGGGAAGAAATTGAGGTAGAGAAGGTAACAGATAGGACAGGATGTCGAAAACCTGAGGGCGCTGGGAGAGATAGGGAAGCCAGACAGAGATCCAGGAGGAAATGGGAAAACATAGGGCAGGAAAAGATGAATAGAGGTGAAGAAAAGGAAGCCACAAATAGAAAAGGATATAACCAGACATGGAGAAATGGGAAGGAGATGATAGGAAAGAGGAAAAAAAGACAAGTGCACACACGATTTGAAAGTCAGTTAGCTGTACAGATTGCCTGCTTCATAGAGCACAGAGTGAATATTGGGCCTGCAGTGGGAAGGGCTAAAGCAAACTGATACTTTCCCCTCTTGCCCTACAAACTTAGAATTAGAGTTGGGGATTTCTTCATGATTCCAAGGCAGCAACTGAATCTCAGCTAAGTTATGAAAAATTATGCCTTTTTTTTTCTCCAATCTTTTAAATTCAGCTTTGTTGTTCTTACTCTAAATTAATTGACTGTGTATTTTAATTTGAGTAAACTAATAGTCTTACTGGTGTCCTGTGGTTATGAAACACACAGGCTGATCACATTGTTCAATCTGAATTTCCATTTTTAATGTACTAACTTTCACAAACCATCTTCCTATTTGTGTGTTTATGGGATCAGGTGGAAGATCACTCAGCTGTTTCTCACCGTGTTATTTCCATGCATTTTTGTATATCATAGTCTGTTTCATCCTCCTCTACAATTTTAATAATTACTTTTCCCCTAATTTTCTCCCAGATGAGAACTAGTGCCTCACCCAGCATATTTAATCAGCATAGTTCAAAACTATACCTGTTCACGCTTTAAATTACAACATCTGTTTGTTAGTTTTACACATGAATGGGTCCATATGTGCTTCATATTACCTTTGGAATACCTAAACCACGTTCATACATATATGCCAGATTAAACATGGCTTGAGCATTATGGTGATCAGCTGCCAGGCTGTAATAAAATGCTGCTGTGACATAATTCTTCTTGGTTCCATAACCGTAGAAGTGGTAGTCTCCAGTTTTGACTCTAGCAAATGCATTGCCTGGTGAAAACAGTAAAAAGAAAACAGTCACGGCAAAAAAATCTAGAGTTAATTGTGCTTTTTGCCAAATTTGCTCCCCTAAAAAAATTACTTTCTTTTTTTTAATTGTTCAAAATGAATAAAATGAAATGTGCAGGACTAAGATTTTATATTATTAACAGAAACTGGATAGTGTATTTAAGAGGAGGGATTTGAGTCACAAGCACATTTAGAACTGTGAAGCAGGAAT